CCTGTCAGCCATTATGAAGGTTCCCTTTCCCCTTCACCATTTCTTGAGCCACGTCTGTTGCTGTCAAGGACACTTTGAATTGGGAGACGGCCAGGAGGATCGTAATTTGCCGCCGCGCGCGGCGATGGGCGCGGCGTTTTCTTGGCGCGCGTTAGCCTGTCGACTGGAGCACCGAGTTTTAACGTCGGCTACGAAACTGTAGACATTTATAACAGTTTTCAGTTCTACATTGCCTGTTGTCGCCATCTACGACCTGGAACCATCGTCATTTGCGGGCGCGACGTCGCACGCGACGCCCATCATGCGGCGAACTGCGATTCTCTTGTCACGTACCCCTTTGAATTTCGTAACACGAGCGCAGACAGTTGGAGTGCACACACTGCCGTTTGGTGGGGGATCCGAACCGTAGTGCGCTATGCTTGTGATGGCCAGCTTTGGAAGACCTGTATAATCTTGTGTTTACGCATAAACTGCGAGAAAAATCCTCTGAAACCTTCTCGTCCAAAGAGCTAGTTCCTTAACACTTTTCAGTGTTAACAATTACAATCAGCGTATTAAAGCTTTCTTAGAAAGGATGGGAGAATTTAGAGGGACTTTTTCAGGACGCTGTTTCGAATTTTTTCTTTGTGGTCCCGTAGACTGCACTTACTTTCAGAATAATATTTGAGCAAGTGGCGGGCGATGGGCGTTGGACGTTCTTCATGAGCACGCACTGTGACATTATGCCGTGGATCATGTCTGAGCTTTCCTTCACAGTCACTAAATAATTGTAATCTCCCGAGTAGTAATAATGCTACCAATACCTAGCAGACGTACTGTAGATATCAGAGTTCTTTCCTGGGAGGACCACAATGACGAGATCACAACTGGTGCTTGTTTGTTTATATTCGTTGGCGATCTCATTGAACAACATGACGACATCGTCACGACCACGTCCATATTTGACAAGATCGGGCCATTTCGGGAAGTCCATACCCATTTGCGTTGCCTTAATTCCGTAATATTTTGACGACTGTAATTGTTTATACTGTTTAGGGTGGGCGAAAATACCGAACCTTGGCGTAGAGTGCTTGGCAGAACCCTTGCAGCAAATTCTGGTCCCTGGGATTCACCAGTGCAATCATCGAATAGCTGCCACAGGTTGCTGGCAGATACAATGTTTGATTGTCCATGGACCATGCTCCGTCCTTTGGGTGAACGATGGGGTCCTTCAAAGGAGTGTTAGCGAAGGTATGGTGAGCATCTGATGATTCTTTGACGGTAAAGGTAAGAGGCTTGAAATTAAACATGAGACCTACCACCATTTTTGAATTGTCGCCAAACATGATTTGAGGTGGCTGGATAACCCTCGCCATGGTCTCGAACATCCGAGATGAAACCGACAGACCGAACTCTTTGAGGAAAGGGTCACGGTCGAAGCCAGCCTGTTGGCAGAGTTGCGCGATGCGCTCTTCTCTTTGTGATGCATCTACTGCAGCAGCCTGCAAAGGAAATGGCTACCTGTGAGAAAGCATCAGCTCAAAAACAGCTTCAAACCTACTCTGATAATTGAGCTTGTCTGCTTTTCACTTAGCTTTTTATTGTATTTCTGTGGTGTGTCCATCTCACATACTTCAAGTGGGAAGAAGATATTGCGTGTGGGTGGACCGACGTGTAGGCACGGAAGTTTAGGGAAACGCAGTTCCTGAAGACGTCGGAAACAATCGCTCTGCTCGTGTGGCCTAATCATCGTCTACTTCCTCATCCACATTGGATTCATTTACTTGCGTACTTCGTCAACACCCTTATGATTGGTACTGCTCCCTTCATTCCAGAACCAGTATAGATGTGAAACAAATCTAAGCGACTGTCGCGAGGTAGATGCTGAGAGGAAATTTCGATTTAGGGTGTCAATGTTCGTATTCAAATTTCCGGGTTATATTGTTTACTCTACTTAGGAAGGGATATGAGTGGAGGAACTCGAGCTATTGCGCGTCGCGCACTTGAAGACAAACTGTACACTTAGCTCGCTGGATCCTGACCTTACCATGGGGCAGGAGAATGGGTCCGCAGCTGCAGTAATATGCCACCTTCTACGCTCAAAACTGCGTGGAAACGAGGCTGGAGGGTAGTGATATTCCGTGTGCTCCATACTCCGCCTCCGCTGCCGCGCGGCCAACCTCACGCCTGACCTTGGCCAAACGCCCCACTCTTGACCTTGGCCAAACGCCCCACTCGTCCGCGCCCTCTCACTTCCTGTTGATCTGTACCGCTGAGTATGGGCCCCCGAGACCTAGTATCTGCGCACGTGCTGCCCCTTGAGGATAGCGTGGGCGGAGTATGGAGTCGGGACCGAATATCACTACCATCCAGCCTACTATCCGTGCATCTTTGAGCGCAGATAGTGGCACACTGGCTGCGGACCCGTCAGCATCGCATATGGAAGCTACCGTCCTCGGACGTGAGTGCGCAGTTTGTTTTTGAAGGTACACTTCGCAATCAGATGCGAAACCGCTCTTCCTCTTTGAGCAAGTAGCTCATTCCGCAGTGATAGGTGTGGCACCTTTCCCAGCGCAAAGCGAGAGAGGGCACCCACGCAGACGTTCATGTCATTGGCCTAACCCGCCATCACTAGCCTCGTCATGGCCCTCCCCGACATATTAACAGCAGAACCGCCAAAGGACGGAGGCAAGGGTATTTTTCGCAGCGGTGCAGCCACCATAACGACCACAACACTGCGGTTATGCGATAACTTAAACTTTTGTGCACGGTCCTGTTGCGAAACTTCCCTTTCCTCGCCATCTGCTTACACAAATATGGGCATTGTTCGGCTGGGGTGGGGGAGGGGGTTTAAAGGAAGGGGAGGCAGTTTCCACTTCCAGTAGCTTTCTTTTCTAGTTTCTGTCGAGCTACAAGCTTCACCTTGGAAAGACCTATAGGCTCTCCCCATGTGTCAAGGAAGCTCAT